GACCAAAATCATGGGATCAATGCTTTGTATGGGACAGCTGCATTTATTCTATGGACACTTTCTGCAGCATTGAGATTGCAAAGATTTGCAAAGTTCCCCCATCTAAAGAGTGTAGATTCATCAACACAAATTTACTGTGGCTACTGAGGAAAAAAAGCCCCAAATGCATAATTTAGAGTGGCAACTTTGCTACTGAAGAACAGTACTAGGGATTAAGACTACCACATTGTGCATTAAATTCTACCAAGATAAGGCGGTTTAAGGGGAATAACCTCAGACTGGCATCATGATAAAACACACGAAGAATTCAGTCAGTCATGGTGCAAACTGATTATTTCCAATTCAGCTTAATCTACTCCTAAGCATGTCAGTAGCTCCTATAAGGAGATAGATCTGGTTGTATTTCCCAGGGAGGTGATCGAGGAGCTGGAAACCTGTTCACATCTCAGTTCCAGCTTTGTCTGCAAAATGGGCCAGTTGCAGTAGGCTTTCCAGGACTATACAGCAGAGGAATACTGTGACAGCTCTCCGAATCAACAAGCAAGCCAGGTGACACAGGGTCCTTCATTGTCTCCTGCCTGCTTCTCCCTGCTCCTATATGCTGTCAGCCATACCAAAATACTTGCAGTGCCCTGTACAAACCATGCTCTTTATGCTAGGTGGCCTCATCCTCTCTTCTTTACCTAACTTCTGTTCATCCGCCGACACCTGGTCCAGTATTTTTTAAATCCTCCCAAGATACCCTGGTATTCTTTCTCAAAGTTTATCATTCTACATTGTAATATTTGCTTTGTCTCTTCCTCAAAAGACCATGAATATCATGACAACAGGAATGCCCTCCTCTTTGTACATTCAGCAGCTAGCACAGTGCTTGACATAAAATGTGTTCTACTCACATCTACTGAGTGAAGGGACATTTATAAAGGCCAAAACCATTCAGACGGCTATCTTGCTAGCAGCTCTATAACATGTTTAGCAAGATGTTCAGAACAGTTCATCACTAACATTAAAAATTCACAGTACATGTCCTTCTGGCTTAGGGATCCATTTTGTATTGGCCTACAAAGGACAGTATCTGTTTATTGCCATAGATTTGGTAGACTTTATTGACTTTTGCTCTGGTCACTTCCAAAACCAAGAATAGGTCATTTTAAGAAGATGCCACAGAAACTGCCTATCTTCTTTCAGTGATGTAGGCACAGAGAAGAGATGAGCCCATTCATAGTTGCTTTGATAGAGAAACAGCCCACCAGGAGCTACAGGTAAATGGAGTAAAAGGGTGTCACAAGACACCCAGTTCCAGGCCCGGTGGCACCCAGTTTATTTCAGATACACATGGTCACCAACAGTTCATTTATATTGTGAAAAGGGCAGCACAGGGTGTTACTGGGAACAGAAAGTCTAGCACCAAACAGACTTGGAGCTTGAATGCTGCCTTACACTGATTAGCTATGTAACTTTGAGCAAGTTAATCTCTAACTATAAGCATATTTCATTGCTTTAAAACAGATATAAATTTACCTACCTTAGAGTTGTTGAAGATTGAGATGCTGTTGACAAATGGCATATAATAATAATCACTCAGTATAGTCATATTACTGTCATTAGGGGCTCTGGAAAGGACCAGACTGGTTTCATGCAGAGTGTATCTAAGGACCTTAGGCAGCAGCCACCTTCCCCAAAAGGTCCCTGAGGAAGACTGGCTTAGTGAGTGCTTAATACACGTTTGTTGAATCAGTAAATAGGACGATGGCCCTCGTGGACCTTTGTTATTCTTATCCGCTGTCCAGCACCTGAACTGTTCTTCTATGTTTGAGGAATTCATCCAACCCCAACAGAAGCTACACATTCCAGATAACCTCATTCTCACTTCCTGCAGCTCGGACACAAGCACATGGGTACTAATCAGATCCATTCATCCCAGACTCTGAAACAGAAATTAGTGATTCAGGGAAGTCAAGAACACACAGGATCCCTTCTGGTGAGGGTGGAACCCCCACATAGAGTTCCAGAGGTACCATGTAATGATAGTAATAAAGTAGAAAATCAAGTTCCACCTTAGTATTAGAGCTAGGGCTTGAAACCCCAGTAAATATTCTCTAATAAAGTAAGATTCAACGCGGTACCAAAGGTCAAAAATTGGTGAGGAAATGAGTCTGTCTCACCCCCTAAACCCAAACTAAACTCTTACCAGCAGCAGAAAGTAAAAAACTGAAGCGAGCACTAGATGGGGGTAGCCTCCTTGCATGTAGAAGTGGGCCCAGGTCTCCTTACCAGTCCAAGATCCTGGACAGGAGAAAGCAGAAGAGGGACCACAGTTCAAGCCTGACTTTTTATGAACGGCAACTCCAAGAGTACATATGGGTGATCCATCTTAGAATCTGACTAAATGTGGTTAGCAACCTTCCTATCTCAGTGGACCTAGAGGAGGGACAAACAGAAACAAAGAGAAACAAAGAAAGAAGCAGAGACCTTGAGCATGATTTCCCGAACGTCTACAATGATTAAGGAATGTAAATACTTCACTCTAAGTCCATGCTTTAAGTCAGTGCATTGGGTGGTATGGCAAAGGAACTCATTAGTACACAGGTGTTAATTGGTGTATTGGAGGTGAAGAAAGGGACATTCAGTCTGTGTTGGACTGACCTACTAACCAATTTGCCCACCTGTGGAGACTGAAAAAGCAAAGTGGAGGAAAAAATCAGGAGAGAGCAGGGTCAGAACAGGCAGAATTCCAAAAAGGAAGTGGTTATATAGTATGAAGTCATAAGCATCAACCGAAGGGCTGAATTTTGACAACTGGAAATCACTGGTGAACCCAGCAAAAACAACTTTAATGGTTGAGGAGTATAGCAAAACCAGGTTTTGGCATGGTGGTTCTCAGCCCCAGCTGCACCACTGTTTTTAAAAAAGAATGAAGCCTGTCCCACCTCCCCATTCTGATGTAATTGGTCTGTAGTTCAGTTGGGGGAATTAGGATTCTTTAAAAATCTCCCCAGGTGGTCCTAATGTGCAGCCAGGGCTAAAAACCAATGCTTCAGTGGACTGAGAATTAATGAACAGGAAGTGTAAGTGAGGGCAGTATTTTAGTGGTAGTCAAGGGGTATTTTCGTTTCAAGAGGGAATCTTTAAACATGTTCAAATGCAAGCTGTACGTGCCAGGAGTGAGAAGCTGTAGCTAGATTAAGCAAGGCATCTGATCAAAGGAGAGGGACTGAGGGCATGGAAGGGATTTGTGTTGGGCAGGACAAGCACTTACATGGAAGAGTTGAGGAAGGGTTGTATGTAAGGGTGTACAATGGGAGACTCCTGTCTAATGCTTTATTACCTGTTAGGGGGTGGGGGAGATTAGCTGCTGAGGCTGAGAAGGTGGGGGTAAAAAGAGTTTGAAATGGCCACAGTCTGCAATAGCTACTGACAACAGAATTGGGATATATACTGAGAGCAGTTTAAAGTGTTGGCATGATTTTGGGGTGGTAGAAATTTGCATAATCATGACGTTGTTCATGGAGAAATACATGGCCCACTGGGAGGAGCAAGTGGTAGAATCTACACATAGTGAAATGGGTTGATTTCAGTCCAAGCCACCAAGGCCATTTGTTAAGTTCTGATATTTCTTTTTCAATTAAAAACATTTAAATGAGGGATCTGCAAGGGTCAGAACTCACTTCTAGAGAAAGAAAACATTAATTTTCATAATTTACATCTTAAAAATCTTTTTACATTCCCATACCTTGAAAGCATCTAGTAACAACATTTTTGGCCAGAGGTATTTTTTAACTGGTTTTCAAGATGGAAAAGAAAAATTACATGGTGTTTTAAAAGACTGCAAAAATTGAAAGGAGAGCTTAAGGCTTACACATGTGTTAATCATGTTTTTTGCTTTCTGTAATAATTACGATGTTTTAACATTAAAAAACCTTTCTGGCTGGGAAAAAAAACCACCTCTCCCAGGGCTAGCTGATTCTTAGAAAGATAGCAAAGGACTCAGCCAGCAGCTTGTCTTCGATGTGCAAACTAACCGGGTACGATGAAGCCATACCCCCTCCATCTGACCTGTTACACTCCAGGAAGCAATCATCCCAGGGCCAGGTACCAGGCAACCAGAGACTAGATTATGGCCCAAAGGCCCCAGAATTAGTTGAACTAGCCATTTCTAGACTGTTCACCCTGCCCTGCTTTGCCTTCTTAGAGGAAACCCCAATAAAGGCTCTGGCCTAAACTACCGCTTGCTTCAGTCTTCTGCCTCCTGACCCAAACCTGGTGCCGTCCTGTGGTCCTGCGTGGCAAGCCGTGCCTCATTTCCAGGGGAACTGTAACTACAAACTCTTCTTCTGGTGGCACAGACCTCTCCGTGCCCTCACTTAATCAGCTTTATAAACCAAGCCCCGGGCACAAAACAAGGTGAACACCTGAGAAATGATACCAGAGAACTCCCCTTTGGCCACACAAATTCCCAGAGAAAACTTGGGTTTGTGGGCTTAAGTCATAAATTAGAGCCTAGCCCAATTCATACAAATAAAACCTAAAGAAAAAGTGGTTGTGATTTCATTTCAAAGCTTTTAGGATTAGAGTACCATATTCTGAAACACTGAATCCATGAATCAGACAAAAAAAAAACAGAACATGCTGTTGCTATTGGCCACCAAGCCCTGCAGAATCACTGAAATGTAAAACAAAGACGATAGGGTGTGATTAAGTGGATCACTGAAAATTGATTTTTACATGCTCTGAAGTACCGAGATTAAGTCCTAGCAAAAGATCACCAATAACGCAACAAGTATTTATTACACAATACTATGTACTCAGGGTGGTTTTTTCTTCCAATTATTTTCATTTCTGTGAGCCATACCTTAAAGACTTCATCATTATTATGCTGGAAAATACACATTTTCCCAGGAAACGAAGATGTAATGAACAAGTATCATGAAATCATGGATAGCAGTATCTTACACAAATGTTTTACTATCTATTGTGAAAAATGACTATCACTCACAGACTAAAAATTCATTGTTATATTTTAATCCACTTTAAAGGTTGTTTCCATCCATCTAAATATGGCCTTGATGGCAATTTTCTCCACATCATTCTTTCTCAATATTTCCAGATCTTTTAGGGGCTTTAGGGAAAAAGGATGGGAAATAAAGACATTAACAGTTTCTGCAAAGAATCGTATACAAAACATGTCTATACTTATGGAGGGAAAAGCACCTCAGAGCTTAGGGGGATGCCAATATGTTAAAACACTTAGGTACAGCAAAGCCTATGGTTCTCAAAACATCCGCGTGCATCAGAGTCCCCCGGAGGCCTCGTGAGACTGCCCGGCCACCCTCAGTTTCCGATTCGGGTGGGGTCTGGTGGGGGCAAGTATGTGCTGCTGCCGGTGGTCGAGGAGCCCCAGCACCCCTGCTCTAAGCATCTCCCCTTCTCTTCCTCATGCCTTCTCACTTCTGGACTTTGCCAGGATTGCTTTCCCTGGCCAACGTCTTCAGGATCTGCCTCATTCTTCAATACTGTACTTGAAAAGTTTTTATTCCAAAAACTTGGCAATTTTAGAGTTTATCATGTCTATTTGCAGTGGCAGGAAAATTTCTCCTTTTGGCCATAAGTTTATTTTGCCGGGCTTGTTAAGAACCTTTCAATCCACACTCTTCAGCAGGATCATTCATTTTCCTTGCTTCTTTCCCATGTTGCTGTTTCCAGGCATTTGACATTCATCTGTTTGGGGATCTTAATGTAGTTTTGTGAAAGCATCTCTGGGCCACTATAGCAGAACCCACCGATTCCCTCACCTTCTCCCTCTGTGCCATTTCCTGATGGGGTAGGAGCCCATCCTGACTGCTGCCACCACCTGTAACTCTACTAGCTGGCACGACCGGAGCGGGAGATAAGGAAATACTGACAAGTAAGACAGCTCAAGCATTAACAAAGGAAGCAGCTGATACCAAGAGCAAACTGCTTTTACCATCCCTGCCGCCACCCCGTGAATCATGACATATCCTGTAAACTGTGCCCTGGACCAGACCGCATCCACAGCCGCTAGAGTAAGCACTCTGTTCTCACGCCGGCTCACAGAAGGTGCACCGGACCTACAGAACACTGACCGCGGCTCCTAATGCTGAGATTTCTACAAAGCATTCTCCCCGGGAAACAAAAAGTATATGGCCCACACCACGGTAATGAAGCCAAACTAAAGAAAAGACCTGAAATGAATCAAACATCCCCAGAGCCCAAGTAGAGAGGCCATCACATGGGCAATGACACTGCGAGCCTAACTCCTTCTCTTGTTCAGCTACAAGTGACCTCTGTGCTGGCTCTGCTCCTGAGGCTCCAGAACCTCCAATGCTGTGGTCTAGACTGCGTTTCTGATGCCGAAATGCAAAAAGATAGATCACAGTCCTCTATGTGGGATTCATAAGTAGTTCAATTACCTATTGTTAGTGTGGAGCTTTACTCATTAGCAAAGGATGCCACAAGCATCACGGAACAAGAAATTTTGTTTCAGCTTTTGGTCATTTTGCTGCCAAAATGGCCTTGTTTGCAGCCTGCTTCACAGCCCAGCAAAACAAAATTTTCAATTGCATTTGATTTCAAAAGAATTCAAGGTTAAATGTGCCTTATTGATCAAGCACGCACCACTCAATAAAGATCACACTCTGCCTCTCCTAAATTTGGCACCATGTAAACAGCTAATTCCCTCTTCTGCACGGTTCTTACCAAAAAGCAACACAAGGGTTTTGATGCAAATGAACTTGTTCCCTTTAAAATGCTGCATCTGAAAAATAATCTCAAATTCCCTGAAACTCATAAGCAAAACTAATTTCTATGAATGATGCTCATGTAAGTGGATAATGTCTTGACTTTTGCTCCTTGTGGAAAATACAGAAGATTAGGATTCAGACAGGCAGACTGTGTAGCCAGCTAGGATAAATCAGAAGCCTGAAATAAGTAAGAACTGTGGAACTCAGCTTCAGTTACTACTTCTAGGCAGATCAAATACACACGAGCTCAATGATTATCCTCAAAGGAAGTCATGCTATCAGTTTTTTCAAGAGACTACAAAACCTGATTTTGAAATTGTATCTTTTGTTGAAAGGTAACAGACTTTACTCAATGTATGACATCATACACTTTGCTATATAAAAAAGAAATTTAAAATTTATGATTCAAAAAACACTCAATTCCAAGTTTATTCCTCTGGAACTGACTCATATAGAAAACAAGCAAAGTAAGTTGGTTAATAATTCTGTCAGCATGCTCATGCAGCAGCTTAAAATGAGGAGCACAATTTACAACCCTGTGTTGCAAGGTATTAATAGCTATTTCTTAGGCAATTAATTTTCTTCCCCACTTATTACAGGCAGATATGGCATTTTTGGATAATCCCCATGGGATGTATTCAAAATATGTAGAAAAGCATGCCCAAGAAAGATGATAAACATTCATGACACACTGTTTCAAAATTATGGGTCTCAGAGTGACTCAGGTCTACCAAGGAAAATCAAAAGATTATAACCCAGGGCAGAGGAAGTCCGAAAGTCTGGGATTTTAGTCTTGGCTTGATCATGTGATTTTGGGGCAAGTCGCTAAACTCTGTGACCATTCTTCTCTCTCTAAAATGGCAGTACATCCTAGCGATGTTTAAAATGTAAATAAAGTCATATATATAAATTATTTGTAATCACAGGTAGAAAGGAGAATTGCCAGGCAACAAGATTCTATCTGAACTGTGGAGATCTGAATAGGTCATGATCACAGGACCCATCTCTGCAAGAGCCAGAGCTTAGTGCAAAGAAAATAAAATTATGTCCATGGATTTTTTCCCCTTGAATCCAACAAATATGTTAGAAATGTGTCTCAGGACATGATGGGAACTAGGTAAGAATGCACATATGACAATAAAACCCCCCTTCATCAATAAAACAATTTGGTAGTGCCATTTTATTTTTTTATTTTATTTCAACAGGCACTTTTATTTTCTATACTGCTCTGGATGCAGCCCCAGTGGACAAAAGGAGAACTAGGGGTGGCTCCTGGGGATGCTGGTTTGGCTTTAATGCTACTCCTCACTTCATAATCTCCATGTGCCCCTCCCTCCACCAGACTCCTTGTTATGGACAATTGACGTGTTCTCCCTCTTAAAGAAAGCGCCATTTAAATTAGCTTCAAGTCCCCCCTTCCAACTAGATTCACATCCACCCATCAACAAGGAAATCCTGGAGTTAGCACTGATAGTTAAGGACTATCATTTTTAAAGGGAACATGACAGAGCAGCCGACCCTCACATGGTGTATGAGGAAAAGGGACAGCTGCACTTCAGGGAAAGGAGGCTCTGTCCCACTCGGCACCTAATTCAAGCACAGAAGATATCCAGGGGCAGGGCTGGGAGTTCCTCTGGAACGTTAACAGAGAAGTGGGCACTTAGAGAACAGTTTCTCTGTATTTCAGAGCAAATGTACTCAATTCGTACAAAAAAGAACCCTTCTGTCAACCAGGCCACAAATGACAGACACTCTGGATAATACTTTTTTAGAAAGGGTGGCTTTTCTCCAGCAGCTCCAGGCAGTCACTTATTCCTCATTTTGACAAAGTAGCATCCAACTTCAGGCATGGCCGTATATATAACGCCACATGTAGCTGAGCCGTCATAAACACGCCAAGTATAAAGGTGTGTCAAAAAGACATTTTTCTCCCCAAAGTATGTCCCCGAGAAGCCATTATTATAATAGAGTGTGAATTTCTGCTGCAGGTTATTGACCTATAAGCTAACAATAAAAAGTCCCATTTCATACATAAAAGCTTACACTGTGACATGAAGTATTAAGACACAATCCACTGACTATTTTAAGTTTGCTGAACAACGAAACCATTTCTTCATTACATTATGAATGTACATATCCTCCTGCGGGAGAACACCAACTCTGGAGATGAGGCAAAGTACAGTCCAGCTGCCGGAGATCCCATGAGGCCATCCAGAAAAATGGAAGAGGCTTCCACTGTCCGTGTTGCTGGTGTCTCCTCTGAGGCTCCCAAATGAGAACTTGGCGAATTTGGCTTATTGGCACTCTCAGTGAATCAAGACCAGGCTCAAAGGCAAACTCTATCTCCTGTAAACACAATTCCACACACAGGTCTCAACTCTGTTTACATCTGTCTAGAACTGGCTACAAATTTGGGACTTCCTCAAATGATATTAAAAGCTCTACATGTAAAGTATGCAAAAGGAGTTACTAGTTTTTCAAGAAAAGAGACATACCTGCAAAAAGCAACAGCTCTGTAAACGGAACTGTAGATAGCTGTTGGGACAATGACAGCAATGTAACAAATATAGCATAGGATGACCTTTTTTTAAAAAAATTGTTGCTGCAATACTTTACTAACTTTAAAAAAAAAACAGATTTCCACAACATGATTTTCTAAGAGAAAGAGTCCACTGCTTTGTTTGAAAGAAGGGTCATCCTGGCAATTAAAGGATTGGGAATGTCAATTACAATACACAAGACTGCGGTACCAAGTCTGGGATGCGTTTCACAACACCCAGTAGCTCCTGGTGGGTGGAATCCTGCTCTCTAGCTGTATCCAGGGCTCTTTTCTGGTGGCATTTTAAAAAACGTAGCTGCAGCTGAGTCAGTAGCTTTCTCTGTGGCAGAGGTCCTGATCAACCACTCAGGGTTTGGAGATTTCTGGACCTGCGATGCTGGTGTAGTTGGTTCCACTACATCCACGTGAACTGGTAAGGTGGTTACAATAAAAGGAAGGAAGAAAAGATCAAGGGGAGACAAATTAGAATCAGAGACACTTCACTGCACAATTCTCTGAATGCTTTTATTTTATAACCTATGAACCCAAGGGGCCACATAAGGTTTTTTTTTTTTCCTTTCCAAAAAAAAATAAAGGCAAGATTTCAGTGAGAGTATTTCTCTACCTGAGAAAATGGGTTTAACTGAACAAATAAATAAATGCAGTCGTACAAATTCATAATGCAGTCATGATCACTTATTGAGCACTTATGAGCCAGGCACTGTGCTATGTAAATAAACCAGAATCTGTTTTTTTCTAATGCAAACCCTTCAAGTAGGAACTGTCATCTCCATATTCTGGATCAAAAAAGTGAGGCAGAGAGACAGCAGATACATTGCTCAGGGACACAACAGGGCTGGTTAAGTAGCAAGATTCAAACTGAGATACTAGACTTCAAGCCCTAGGCTCTATTACCACCCCATGCCTCCAGTAACACAGTATTTCCAATAAATAGCATCTCATAAGAAAAATCACACAATCAGGCCCAGTGTTTTTCAACAAGGACACCAAAGACATTCTGGACATGATCACCATTGCTTGTGCAGGGCTGGTCCTGTGTATTTTAGGACACTTACCATTCTGGACCCCATCCACTGAATGCCAAAAGCACTCCTCAGTCATTGTGATGACCAAACACTGTCCTCCCATTTCCAAATGCCCTCCTGAGCAGAGAGGTACAAACCACCATCATGCCCACTCTGTTGAGAGTGAACGAATATACACCAAAATACAGCAAATCTAGACAATTTTCGTTTTTACCTTGTCACTCAATTAATTCCACTCCTAGGAATGTAATTAGAATAGTAATTTTCAAGTTGTGGGTCACAAAATCAATTTAGTAGGCCATGACCAGTACTTTTTTTCTTAATGGAAAGGAATAGGATATATCGGAGCGAACCCAAGAATTTATTTCAGATTTACATGTACACTCACATACATATTCGAACATGAATTTCTTACTGAGTTACTGCAAAAAAAAAAAAAACTGTAGGCTATTACTCTATGGCACATATATAAGAGCTTCTTGAGGGCAACAGTTTTCAAGCATTTTGGAACCTCAACCACAGCAGCAAAAAATACATTTGACACCACAACCCAAATCTCTGTGTCTCTCCCTCTCACACAAACATGCGCACAAGCACTCACTCACTCATATTTAGCTGAAAATAAGTTTCATAAAACTGTATTTACCATTACTATATGGTATTCAACCACAGTGGGGAAAATCCCTTATCCTAAGAAAATTGGGGGTTTTTTTGCTCTATATTTTTTACTATGGTAAAACACACATAACACAAAATTTACCAATTTAATAATTTTTATGTGTACAGTTCCATGGCATTAAGTACATTCACACTGCTGTACAAGCATCACCACCATCCATATCCAGAACTTCTTCACTCTCCCAAAAGGAAATACTGTACCTGTTAAATAGTAACTGCCGCTCTCCTCCTTCCCCAGCCCTGGCAACCATTATTCTGCTGTCTCCACATATTTGACCATTTGAGGTACCTCCTATAACTGGAATCATATAGGATTTATCCTTCCGTGTCTGGCTTATTTCACCTAGTATTATGTCTTCATCCATGCTGTAGCATGTCAAAGTTTCCTTCCTTTTCAAGGCCAAATAATACTCCCCTGTATGTATAAACCACATTTTGTTTACTGATTTATCCAGTAATGGACACTTGGGTCGCTTCCACTTTTTAGCTCTTGTGAACAATGCTAATAGGAACATGGATGTACAAATATCTGTTTGAATCCATGCTTTCAATTCTTTTGGGTATATACTTAGAAGCGGAATTGCTGGCTCATATGGTAGTTTTATGTTTACAATTGTGAGGCGCCACCACCCTGCGTCCCATAGCGGCTGCACTATTTCACATTCCCACCGCCAATGCCCAAGGGTTCCGATTTCTCTCCATCTTTCCTAACATTTGTTGTTTCCTGGTCCTTGATACAGCCATCCTAAGGACTGTGAAGTGGCCCAGAAACACTTTTGCACATATTCTCCCAAAGACCAATGCAGTATTTTTGAAGGAGCATAAAATGGGATATAATCCAAATGTCCATCAGGAATGTTTAATTATAATATACTCAGCATAGTTATACAATGGAATACCATTTGTATATGGTGGTAAAAAAAAAAAAAAGGATTTTGGCGGGACAAAAACAAATGAATCTCAAAACATAACTGGCTGAAACTTCTAACTTATAAAGTAAGACATTCCATTTACACAAGCCTCCAAAAAATGCTAACTAGACAATGTATTGCTTAGAGAGCTATATGTCTGTTAAAGCTAGCTGAAAAAAATCCCCAAAGAATGATAAATGATTAACAAAAAACCATATTCACATTAACCAAAAAACTGTATGAGGACAATGGTTACCTATGAGGACAGTGGGAAAATTTTAAAGGCGATGTCCATGTTCTTAAAGTGGATGGTAGGTACATGGATATTTGCTATATTGTTTTTCTTGACACCTTATCCATCTTCTATAAATGTTCTTTTATAACCATTCAATATTTACTAAAAAACATTTTTAACTTTAAAAGCCATTTGAATTTTAAAAAGGGGCAGTAAGAAAAAAGTAAAAAGGGGCAGTAAGAATCTGCCTTATGACACCTGAGGCAAGGGCTAACCTACAATGGAACTACTGAATCCAATCACAGGGTTAGAATAATTTTTAGAATAACTGTTTCAACTTTAAGATTCCATTCACTTATTCAAACAAGAAATATCTAGTGAGATCATTCTCTGTGCTGAGTACTATTTTAGATGCTCAGGGTACAGAAGTGAGCAAAACAGATAAAAATTTTGGCTCTCACAAACACATCTCTAGCATCACTGGCCTGGTATTTGGAATCTGATGTAACTAACAGATTAACTGCTGAGTACCCTTCCAACTGATGCTCTAAGGACACATACCCTATCCCAGAGACAGGAAGGTCAGAAGAGGCTTGGGGGATGGCCAAAATAGTAAGGGCTCTGAATACAATGTCTTATCATCCCCCAATTCTCCTTTACCTAAAGGCCATGGGTTTAATTTTTGAAGGAATGGGATTTGTACACCAAACTCCATTCTTGTCATTCTAATCAAGAAAAATCATCTCATGGAAATGAAATCTGGTTTTCATCTGAGTTTCTTATGCTTCTTATAGCCACTTAATCTCAAATCTTAGAGAAAATAACCCATTTTTTCTTTTCCAACTACATTCTTTAAGAGCACATAGAGCCAATTCACTTCAGCAGGAGGTATAGACCTTCCCTGTTCTGGTGTTACTGAAACAGAAGCAGATTTTTACATGGTTACTCGCTAAAATCCAAGGGTGGCTCTGTGTACCAGATACCTGTGTAGGTTATAAAGTCATGAAGGGAAGGGGAGTGGAGATAAAGAGAAGAAAATAAAGGTGCTATGCTTTCAAGAAGGATCTACTTAACGACCCTAATGAGAAGGTCTTTTCCCCTGGCCTTTCCTGAGTGTTAATATAAAAAGACAAGAAAGACAAGCTACTCCTTTCTGCTCTTCACCTCTCTAGCCTTATTAATACCTTTAAATTCAGTCAATCTCAACTCAAAACTTTCCACCGGGGGGGAGGGGAAAAGGGAAAAGATTTGTGGCTGCATGTTTAAGAAAGAAGCTGAATTCATCACAGTGACAGGGGAGAGTGTTGGCAGAGATCTGAGCTATTTATTCTTTTAGGAAAATCCTATAAAGAATGACACAAGGAAGCCTCTATCTGCAGTCTTGTTCATCACACTGGTGAAGAGTCCGATAACAGATGTACGCAGTAGCGTGATTTAGTGCCAGGAGCTGGCCCCTGATGTGTATTAATACAGCGGCAAAGCGGAACGCACCTCTCTTCATCACTCATTTCTATAAAAGAGGTGGAATCCGAGATGGCCCGATGTGAGGCAGAGCAAGCCCATTTGTTCTACTGACTGATGGTGCGGGCTTGGGCTGTGTCCTTCACCTCCATGGGGCACTCAGGTTGTGGATAGAAAAAACAGAAAATGTTCAGTGAGGCAGACCTTAGTCAACAAGTGAGAGGAGGAGCTGGGCTCAGGAGGAGACGTGCTGAATGCCCAAACCGCATTGAATCCCTCCCAGTGACAGTTCCTGCTGTGAGTGTGCAACAAGGTTTTTAAACTCTTCTCAACAGTTCTTGTCTTATGAACAATTAAAAGTTAAAAATAGAAGCTAGATATTGAGGGGGGAAAAAAAGAACAAAAGATACAAGAGGGGAGACTGTTGTAATGCTTCCAATACCATAGGCAGGATTTTGATGCAGTCACAGTTCGGAACCAGTGCTATCTTATACAACAGAGAACATCTGAAGTGTGTAACAGCGCACCTCTCGAAGTCAGAGGGAAACTGATTTGACCTTGGCTCTGCAATTTATCATCCATGTGACCTTGGAGAAGTGATTTAACCTCAGTAAGCCTCAATTTTGTCATGTGTAAACTGTTAATAAAAACATCTACCTTTTAAAGTTGTTGCAAAGATTAAATGAAATAATGCATGCAGAGTAATCAGCTCAGGCCAGCCATGTCCATGCAGAAATCACTGGAAAAAATTTACTATAATTATCAGACCTGCGATTAAGATTGTCCAGTAAGAACCATTATCAAGCAGTCACCCCAAACAGAAACTGAAAGAGGTCGATTTTAAGGTATGCTGAAACTTACTAAGTTAAGGGAGAGAGAGTTCCCTATCTCTCTGAGGTCTATTCTGTACTCATCAACTGCTCTGATCTATATAATATATAGTATTTTCTGAAGAAAATAAAATAATCTATGATATACTCAATTTCCTCAGAGTGAATTAATTCACTATCATCAAGAAAATAACTGTATTTCTGATAGGTCCTACAAACAGATATGATCTTTTTATCCAGAGCAATTTATCCTCAACTGTACTGAAATAACACAAAAATTTCCTGATTACCGACTATGTTTAACTGTCTTCTCCTAACTCCAAAGAAAAATGCCTACAAACATCCAATATTCTTTCTGATATAAATAATGACTACCCCCCATTTTTTAAGGATAAGTAAAGGGCATAAATCATAAGCATACAGCTCAATGAATTTTTACATACGCATATACCCATGTAATTCCTACCCAGTTGATGACAAAGAGCATTTCCCAGAAGACTTCTGATGATGTCGTCTCCTGGTCACTACCCCTCACCAAAGATAACCACTATTTCAGTTTCCAACCAACTGGTTTTAGCCAGAAAACTGAAAGGTTTTAACTTGAAAAACAGTTTTTAATTAGAAATTTCAAGACTAGTAGAGTATTAGTACTCTACTACACGTAATAACAGTGAGAACGTATTGTACCATGTGCCAAGTAAAAAAGTAAATAAACCTATGTGGCTCCCTGGCTACTGACTAAAACTGCCACCCTAACTGGATTTTCATGACCACAGACCTAATTTCCTCTCTGTGCTAGAACAAAAGCACAGATGACTGAAGATTGCTGATTGTAGAATACCAGGATTCAAACTCAAAAAAGCCACATGACACAGTGAAAAAACACAGACTTCAGGGTTAGAGGGAACTAGGTTTGGATTCTTAAAATGTGTGTGACCTTGGGCAAATTACATCTCACATTCTTATTTTCCCAAGTAAAATGGGAATAAAATGACCTACCTTATCATAAAGGTTAGATGAAAAGGTATATAAAACGTAATTTAGTGCCTGACACACAGTAGGTGCTCAATAAATGGTAACTACATACAGTTACCTGCATTTGGGCTGGACAGAGATGCTGTGGCCACAGGTTTCCGTTTCCTCTTGATGTCACGTGAACATGGGGGTCCCAAGTGTATGTTTGCCTGTCTGCAGATACAAGAAAGAAAAAACATTGTTTTCATCTTGAATTCTTATTGTAAGACATTATGTTCAGCCCAGATAAAATCCTTGACCCATTACAGACATACACTAACAAGACAGGCACCGTTCTTTGTCATCAAGTGTCAAGTACAAGTTTATTCAGGATTAATCATAACTCATTCTTTATGCACAATATATACCCATTTTAAACTTTTTACCTAATTTCAGAATAGCAGACACTCAAGATTAATTTCAATAAATGTGTTTCATTACATGCTGATTTTTGTACAATTATTTTTCATAAAAACTTTAACTGCAATTGTTCTACACTCACTAATGAAATACCTACTCCCAAGTGGTAATATATTGAAAAGTTTAATGCTGCATGAACACAGATATTTGCATAGAATTTTAATAGGAATTTAACCCTTCTATCACTACAAATCTGGATTTTTAATAGTGTCTGTGTCACCAGTTAAATAAGTTTGATTTCTGTGATTTTTAAAAGTATTAATTACTTGCTAATAATATATTCCCTCATCTGAATATTCAACTTATTTTAAAAACAGTGGGTGTGCCAAAGCTGGAAAAAAGCAATAGATTGTCTGAAAGACAATGGACTTCACACTGCAACAGCTGGTACGCTATTTTAGTTGCCCACTTCCTCCTTCCTCAAGCTAGACGGATCCTGGGACGGCTGAGTGGCTCAGTGGGTTAAGTGTCTGCCTTCGGCTCAGGTCATGATCCCAGAGTCCTGGGATCGAGTCTAGCATTGGGCTCCTTGCTCAGTGGGGAGCCTGCTTCTCCCTCTGCCTGCCGCTCCCCCTGCTTGTGCTCTCGCTCACTCTCGCCTATGCTCTCTCTCTCTAGCAAATAAATAAATAAAATCTTTAAAAAAAAACAAAAACGAGATGGATCCTACCCCTGATTAAGGACCAAGTTGACTCTCACCTTTACACAAAGCCTTCCTTGAACAGTCAAGGCCTTACTGACCATGAATCATTATTTAACTGCTATACATATATCTTGTTTCCCTAATGAGACTTACTCTTGAGAACAGGGACCATGTTTACACTTCTTTCACAGTTTTCCAATGATCCACCAACCTCAGCACAAGGCACTTACCTGACGGCCATTAAATATCTCTTGACAAGAACTGATACAAATGAATGCAAGTTCTAAAAACCAAATAGTCAACTGTACACTTAAAAGTGGTTAAAATGGCAAATTCTATGTCATCTATATTTTACCACAATTTTTTTAAAAATAGTGAGAGTATGTACATATAAAAAAGAATCTAGTAAAATTATACCAGATGAACTCCTAATTGGTAGTCTTAGCTGGGGATTAAGTCTCATGGCTTAATGATCTTAAAACTAGAACCTCAGTCAAATCTCAGAGCACCTAGTTAGTGCACAAAGCATCAAGACAACCACGGAATGGACAAACTTTCCTATTCAGAGGGCTCCTAATCTGGCAACTTCCACAGTTTAAAAGCATACATGTATACACATTATTTTCTCTACATGCAAAAGCTTAAGAATCAATTCACTTTATAAATGAGAAAAGGTAAGAATTTAACTGAAATCATAAGATTTTTGGAATGCAGAGAACACTACAATAGGCAGAGATTTACAGAATATAAAGCCCGTGCTTTGGAAAATTCCATCCAAGTCACTCTGTATTGATATCCCTCTCTTCTATATGGAAAAAGAGTTAACTTTTGAGTATCCCATGAATAGTTAATTCTGAACACCCAAAGTGAAATGTAAATATAAATGTATAAAGGAGAAAACAATTCATTTTTCATACCTTACCAAAGTCCTGGGAATAAATCAGCCTGTTGATTTAATAGTAAGAAACACAGATGACAGAATATCAAAGGTAGAGAGGCCTTCAGCCTAAATGGAGAGAAGGTAATTCCCTTTGAAGCCAAAGACACAGACAGAAAAGAGAGTGATCCTACAAAATTTTGGTTTCTGTCAAAACAGAGAAATGTACAGAATAGGGCTTCCATCCTTTCCACAAATAAGCTACTTGAGTACATACAGATCCAAACTCAAAAACTGGCCACTTTGCTCTATTCCAATCATGCTTCTCCTGAAGTTCTTCAGAAAGACAAACAAGCCAAATAAAGGGTAACAGTATACATTCATGTTTCTTTCTTCTTTACCTTAAGCTTATATAATAACAGTATACATTCATGCTTCTTTCTTCTTTACCTTATAAAGGACTCTCCAAAACTTTTTAGATTAAATGTTAACATCCTTTCTTCAAACTAAACTACGTTATTAGATGTCAGGACAGTGGTTACCCTTGCGCTGTGGGGTAGAGGGGAGGAGGAACAGTGGCTAAACAAAGCACCAGGAGCTTTTGGGCTTCTTTCCGATAATGTTCTATTTCTGGATCTAGATGAGATGAGGGTTACTTGAATGTGACTTCATTATCCTTCATTAAGAATGAAGTTCAATTAAGGGGGGCGCCTGGGTGGCTCAGTCGCTGGACGAATGCCTTCGGCTTGGGTCATGATCCCAGGGTCCTGGGCTCGAGCCCCGTGCCGGGCTCCCTGCTCCGCGGGAAGCCTGCTTCTTCCTCTCCCACTCCCCCTGCTTGTGTTCCTGCCCTTGCTCTCTCTCTCTGTGTCAAATGAATAAAATCTTTAAAAAAAAAAGTTTAATTAAGGGGCGCCTGGGTGGCTAGTCAGTTAAGCCATCTGCCTTTGGCTCAGGTCATGATCTTGGGATCATGAGATCAAGCCCCGCTTTGGGCTCCCTGCTCAGTGGGGAGTCTGCTTCTCCCTCTCCTTCTTCCCCTCCCCCCGCACTCGTGCTCTCTCTCAAATAAAATCTTTAAAAAAAAGTTTAATTTTAAAAAATGCAAAACAAAAAACAAAAACATTGCTTCTTCAAGATCAATGCAAAATGCTGAATTTTATGAGACAGATGCAAATGAAAAGTATAAGAAAAGTACTCAAAGGAGAGTTTTAAGATATTAATTCTTAGAGCATCCACTTGGGCTGAAGGAAATAAATACTGCCTTTTATTTATACACCATTCATCATTTTCACAACTTTGCATGTTTGATAGAGGTCAGTAAGACAGTTAAGGGCCCTATTATTATCCCTCCTTTACTGATCTAGTCAGTAACATTTATCTCACATTTTCAAGAAATGGCACATTTGGGAATAAAAAGATGAAATCATTTATGTACGAAAATATTTAAATTTTTAATCATTTTAAATGGAAATATGGTGCTTTTTAAAATGTTTTATTTATTTTAGTAAAATGGAAGTAAATATTAATTACCTACCATGAGGCATATAGATTATTACACTGCACTCACTACATCCTGCAGCGTCCTTAGGGGGCTGCTATGGACGCAAAGGCTCAGGTGGTCCTTCCCATGCCCCACCCCTCTGGTCATCGTTCTCACATCCCCACTCTGCCCTGCCCAGTGATGGTAAGGGCCTCAGGGTTAATTGTCCCTACATTAAATGACCCCTGACTGCTAAGTCTCCAGCCTGTTACTTGTTTCTGTGGTAAATGATCTACTTCTACCACCCTATTCCCACTCTTAATTGTTGGCCTGAACATTCTAAATCCTTCAAATTTTGTAAATTCCTCTGGTGATAACTTAGGAAAGAACTGAAGGCTTTCTAAGGAACCCACGTAATGAAGCTTATGAAGTCAACCGCCTTATTTTGTCGTAAAAGTATGTATTTTTGTGTGGACTATTTCCTTTCTACTTAAAGAGCTATTTTGCTTCTTTCATTGTTCACTGCTTTTACTGAGGTGTTGAACAAAAGAGACAGTCTCTTCCCTAAAGGACCTCGTAGTCTAGTCCTATTTCCAGCCACACAGCTTTTCTAGTCATAGAATCTGGATAATAGAGAAACTGAGGCAAGGATAAAGAGAAGCCACGTTCATTCCTAAAACTCAGTTTAATGCTCCTTCCCTCTTAACACATTTCTCTTAGGACCGTTTCCAGACTGGAGAGCTATTTCATAAGAAGTTACATAACATCACACCTTAGGTCTGAGTACAGAAAGGATATTTGTCTCTCCCTACGTACCTTCCTAGCAAAGATCTGGGAAAGGAAGAAGAGAAACAGTCAAGTTATAAAGGACAGTAAGACATTTTCCTTCTTTTTGGTTTTAAGTGAACACTAGTAATGGTAGAGTTCACAGCTTGGGAAAATCTATTTTTCCCTTTGAGGGCTCTGTCTGCCTGGGAAGAACCTTGGAAACCAGAGAGGAAGAAGACCCGGAAGCCTAGAGACCCAGAGCCTGGGGAAAGCACAGAGGAAGCTGAGTGCTTGGAGGAGGATTTAAAGGAGACAGGAAAAGGAACCTGCCACGCTGTATAGCACATTCTGAGCACAAGGACACCCTGTTCAGGAGTAATATCCATGCGGCATTGGAAGGGTCCCTTGTGTTATTTTGGGGAACCTGAGCATGGGAGTATGCACCTGCTATGGCCACAGCTTCCTACTCAAGAGGCCGGTCCAATTTTTTTGTGTCCCCAAATAATTCCATACAATAACTACAGACATAAAGAATGAAAGAAAGTGAAATAAAAATAAAAAACTGACCTCCCCCACCCTCATTTTCACTTAGGAGTAGTTGGCTCCCCTCCTTCCCAATGTGTTGTTTCTTTAATTTGTGTTATTTTGCTCAGACAGTATCTGTCTACTCTCACAAGATAGAAACTGAAGAGGGTCAACACACAAGCAGCTGTCACAAAGGGCAGGGGAAGTCAGAGCCTCCCCTTCTCACCAACGCACATTGGATAGAAAGGGTAGAAGATTTAATTCAATTTTTAAAAATTCTTTGTCAAGAACAGCATATAGTCGTTCCTGCACTGCAAATCATGTGCTGTGTGTGGAGGGCGGGAATCTTTCAATTATGCAGGGAGCAGAAAGGCTAAGTATCAGTTAAGCTGAAATTTCTACAAAGTTAAAACTTCTTCTCAATTGGAGTGGTAATGGTTATCAGAATCCCGTAAGGA